GGTTTAAAAAATTGTCACTCTTTCCAATACCTCTGCATTTGTTATCCTGATTTAAAAAGCAGCGAGAACGTGTGGAAGGCAAGCTCTGCACAAACGAGAAGAGGGCCGTGGCAGCATCTTCGCACAGAAGACTATTCAAACAAACCCCTGCACAGTCAGCATGCCCAACTCCATACATATTAAATCTCTACAAATATCTAAACAAAGTGCTATTCTCTTTGAATAACATCTGGCTGCAGCAAAACAACCTTAAATTAAATTTGCAAAATGACTTTATAAAACAGCCTTGTAAAACGGCCAGCCACTGCCTGTGGTTCTCTAGGCTACAATGGCTTCTGGACAGAGTTTCATTTTGTTCTATAAAAATCCAGCTTGTTCAAATTAGCTGCACAACTGACTCTTTCTTACTTTGTGTAGTACTATAATAGCTGAGAGAGACAAGGATCCTTCCCAGAAGGGCCTTGAATTTTAAAAGCTACCTAGGAAGACTCAAGAGTTACTTACTAGACAATATCAGATTTGAAAGTCAGTCTTCTGTATTTCATCCAATTTGTAAAGCCCAAGATCTCCCCATCAGAATTAAGTATTGGCCAAGATTCAGCCTAAATCAATTGATTACCATTGTGTCCAATCACAGGAGCTGGTAATTGGCTGCGTGTGTTTACTAATTTAGAGTTTCGTACAAGTGTCATGGTGAATTTTGGGTCCAGTATCCAGTAGAAAATTCAGTACATAGTGACATTTCACATTGAAAGGTTAATGCTGTTATGTCTGGAATGTCAGCTGGGGAAAATGGAGGCATTATTTCTTAGTGACTCTAGGAACAGTTAAAAAAAAAAATAATTAAATACTAGAGACTGGAAATAAGCTGTTACAGGAACGCTCTCCCAACTCCCTCTCTAGGAAAGAAAGTCTTTTTTTATACTCCTAAAGGATCAGAAGGAGATATGTTTTGGAAAGGTAAGATGAAAAGTAATCCTGTGCCTGATTCCTCAAGAGAAGCCTGGCCATGGAAGTGAGCCAGTTTTGCTGGCAAAAGCACATCTCCAGTAGATGCTGCCTGGAGCCCAGGGCACAAAAACACATACCTGAGTCAGGAATGTGTCTATATGAGATAGCTGAGAAGAGGAAAATGAAAGATGACTTCAGATTCAGCATCAGTAGATTTGCAATATTTTCCTTTCATTTCCTTAGAACTCTCTTTTTATAACTATTTGTCCTTACGTTCTCCATTTCGGATGCTGCATGTAAGTCCTTTCACTTAGTGGTCATTTTAGCTGGTTTGTATGGAGAAGGATAGCTAGCTAGCAGGTGAGATCTAAGGCATTTCACAGCAAGGGATCACTGCAAGGGTGTGTGTGGGGGGGAGGTAGATAGAAGCATGCATCATAGGAAATACCTTTTTTTTTTTTCCCCCCTCCTTTGGGCTTTGGAATGAGCAGAGTGATATACTGAAGTCTGAGAAAGCTCTTGCAGTCCCAAGACACATCTCAGGAAGAGAAGAACCAGGCACAGCTCAGGAAGGTTCAGAAGCTAGGAGCAAAAGGGAAGGTGATCAAAACAGTTAATGAGCCTTCAAACAAACAAAAAAGTAGCTGTTTAAGAAACAAGTGTGGTCCTGAGGTGTTAAAGCTAGAAAGCTATAACAGAACAAGTGAATGAACAGCACTCCAGGTGCTGTTAAGGTAGAAGTAACGCTACGAAAGGAGTCCCACCTACCACAATAGTAAAGGTCTGATAACATGAACATCTGGGGTCAAGGTGAGAAGAATGAATTAATTCTGTCTTTCTTGCCTTCCCTTACACAGATTCATGCACCAACATACAATTGCTTGTTTCCATTCACTCCTGTCTTCACCTCAATAAAAGCAGATGAAGGGCATTTGTTGTTGAACTACGAGAAAAGTGAAGATCAGGTGTTATGGTATCTGCTGTGTAGGGAAGCAACTGACTCTGTGTGTGCCTGTCTCTGGTAGCACCACAGCATAAACTCACAACTTCACAACAGTAGGAAGATGACAGTTTGCCAAAGATAAGCCCTTTACATGGTATTAATTCAGCTAAAGATCAAAAGTCTGAGGATGCACACTGTTCCTCAACTCAACTTGGATTCCAAAGTAAAATGGAAGACAGATCCAGATTGCTTTGGGTAATGGCAAAATTTTGCTTCGGTTTTCTTAAACCAATGGCTGGTTTGTGTGGCTTCCAAAGTAAAAGTGAATCAAACAAACTTAAAAAGAATCCCACAGTGTTCCAAAAATATGCCTTAATAGTGTATCTATTATTGAGTTGGTAATCTGTTATTAAGATTATTTGACTATGAATAAACTGAAGAAACTAAATAGGAGAAATGACCAAATTAAAAGACTTGGAAAAAAAAAATCTTCCTCTTCTAAAATGGCTAGATTTTGGACTAATCCCTATTTCATTCTGATTGTTTAATCGATATCAAGCTTTATTGCATTTAAATTGCCCTTCATTCATTCTTTTTAAAGTTTGTGAATCAGTCCTGGCCTTTGGCTTTTAATTTCATATCATCTAGAAGCAAGACTCACATTTTCTTTTGACTGCAGCCCGTCTGCAGTCTGCCACAGTTCAGCAGCTCCTCAACAGCAGGACTGTGACCATGCCCTTTAAAACCTTCACAGTTTAAAGATCTTGCACACAGAGCACTCTTTTCCAGAAAATTGGTTTGCACAGCGCCCCTCCAAAAGCCTTCCTTCCTCCTGTCTCTTGTAACTCAAAGTACTTCCCCCCCACACTCAAAGTGAACATGGGGAAGGATGAACAATATAATCACCGGGCATCATGTTTACTATTACACCAATGATTACAGTGTATCACTGTCCTGCTGTGTACTTTAGCAGGATTAGTGGAAAGAGGCAAGACTGCTGAAAAGAGATCATAGAGGAGGCTCCCGGCTTTATCCAAAGAGGGTTTGGGCTGTGCTCTGGCATTATGCACTTGGGCACTTACCAGCAAGCTCTGGTAAAACCAAGTTAGGGTGTTTGTTTTTTAGACTATAGGCAGCATGATTGTGATTTCCTGATTTGTGCTGCAACCAGCCAGGAGAAGAGAGGCAGAAGCCAGCCAAGCCTCTGCTGCAACACCAGGGAAAGGAAGCATGAACAAATCAGGGAAAAGGTTCTGAGGCATCCAACTTGGTCCCAGGATTCTGGGGTTCACTAGAAGAGAGGTTAGACCTGACATAAAGTTCTGGTCACATCAGGTGACTTCTCCAATAACATAAATAAGTAAATAAAGCCATTTTATAACTCTAGCAATTCCCTCCTTTGGAAAGTTCTGATGACCCCAAATGCTTAGTTCACAGAAAGCAACTCCACCTCGAAAATCCCTTCCTGAAAGAATGGTTACAGCAGAGAGCAAGTTCCCTGTTTCTTCTTACACCTCCCACACAGAAATATCAGAAAGGTACTGCCAAAGCATATTCTGTGATGACTGGCAACTCACTTTCATGCCAAGAGTAGCATGTGTAAGAACATGCAAACTGTAATCTTGCCATTCCCTGTCTTTCAGAAGTTTTTAAAAGATGGCAACGACTTTTAATTGAGTTTAAAGAAGAGAGCAACACTGTGTTGGTCCTAGTTTTTATTTTAAACTCAAGCAACTCAGCCAGGTCTAGTTTTCCACCTACCACATGAAACAAGGAGTATGAACATCACAAGCACAGGCAAAGTTTGATTAGCAATGGCTCATAACAATTTGCATTCTCCACACCCTATTTAGAAAATGATGGTATTTCTTCTGCAGTTTAAGTAGTATTTGTATGGAGTCCCATCATCAGGTTGGCAAAAGCAAAAGTCTGAGGTGAGGGAAGAAGCCTGCATTACACTAATTTTGCATTCACAGTCTAGTTGGGCTTACCAAGGTGTTTTGAAAACAGTTATTAAAAGAAGACCATGGACCAGTATCTCTATCTGGCAAGAGTTACTTATCCTGTTGATATACAGATTTCTCACAAACAAAAGAAAGAACACCTATTAACTAAGCTTTAAGGTATCCCTTTAAAAAAACAAACAAACAAACAAAAAAAAAAACGTATATTTGAGGGCAAGACTCCATTTCCTTAAATTATGTGCAAAAACAGGCAATAACTACAATTTAGGAATGAAGGCAGAGACGCTGAATATTATGTCAACATCCTTTGTCCAAATCCAGTTTGATAGTTGGGAAACGGTTTCATTTAGTGATCTTTCTATGTGAAATGAACTCGTGGTAAGACACTTGACTGACAGATGTTAAAAATAGAAAAGCTTTTCTTAAACCCGTGGCAGTTCCAGCTGCAGTTTGTCCATAGATAAATAGAATACCAATGATATCCAATGATATCAGTACGGACAAATAAATCAACGCAAACTATTTTGAAAGGATCAATCAAACAATAAAAAAAAACCAAAAAACTCACAAACTCCCTTCCCCCACACTGTCATCTCAGCTGAAACTTCTGATACATAATTCCTCCAACAAATCCCATACACCAAAGAAATAGCAAGCAGTCTTCACAACACCTCACAGAAGGATGATCTCAAGCAACAGCACAGGAAAACACAGAGAACTCAAATTACTCACTTTCCAGACTTGACTTCACAGTGCTTTGTTTCTTCTGAAAGTTACCTTCAACCTCAAGGTCCCATCTAGTCCTTAGAATACCTCCCCACCTCTTGAGATCTTTACAAAAAAAAGATGCAAACCTAATGCACCCAGGAAGAGATTTTTTATTGAACCTAGGCTTAGCGGGGGATATGACCTCAGCAACATGTCTTTCAGCACACCTGTGTAATAAAGCTACAGGTGAACAAAGTGAAGCCATCATTGGCAAAAACTACTCTTGGATCTGGAGAAGTTAGGAAGATACTTTGGCACAGCTGTATAATTGTAAAGCATATTAGTCAAATGTAAGAAAGAAGCAATGGAGATAAACCATCACCTGATCCTGGTTTGCAGTCCCTCCAGCCTTGTCAAATTCTCCTGCACTGAAATGGACCTTATATAAAAAAACATCATAACTGACTTTTAAGAAAGAGCGTCAGGATATTTACTAGTCTATGGTACCTTTACAATGCTGGGGATGAAAAAAAAATGACAACACAAAAAGGGCATGATTCCACACACAGGCAATGGTGATTATGTTATGTGGCTCATCTTTCTGCTTACACTGATATCTGCTGGAGGGCAGACCTGACTGAAACCCACAAGAATCATCAGGTGTTCAAGGATATGAACAGCAGAAAAGTATTTGCTATGAGAGTAGCTGTCCTACGTTTGTTTTGTCTTTCCTGCAGGATTTATTTTTTAAGTGATTTATTTTCAATTTTGGCTTATACATCTAATTGTAACTGGAAAATTCCAGCTCAAAAATTTACATATGCTTAGTGCTTTTATGGCTTTCCCCATAAGACATTCTGTGGTGTAAGAGGCAGAGGAAAAAAAAAATGATTCCAATTACTGAAGGTTTTTATTTTTATGGCACAGATCTGCTCCCTGTTAAACATCATGGTATCAAACTGCCATGACATGAAATCTCTCCTTTTTTTTTTTTTTTTTTTTTTTTCCCCAGACTGTCGATTAACTGAGGCCACATTTTGCAGTGGGAAGGATGCTGTTGCTGCTTGCCTACCCGTAGCCCTAAGGAAACATGAGGAGGAAATCAGTCCCACCCAAGCCCCGCTGCCAAGTGTTTGTACAGGTGTCACTAATTAGGGCAGAATTTGGCCTGCAAAAAACATCCAGCCACAGATACTGGAGAAAACTGCCAATTTGGTTTGGGGGGGGAAATCTCTCAGACAAGTTTGCAGAAGGGCTTAGTGTGGTCATAGCGTAACAAACTGATTTTTTTTTTTTTGTTTTGGTTTGTTTGTTTTTTGTGAATTGAGTATCCTTGGTCTGTGTACTGAATCTGACTGGGAGAGAGTTAATCATCTTCATAGCAGCCCATATAGTAGTGTGTTTTGGGTTTGTAACAACACCTCTTTTTTTCACGGTCACTTTTCCAGTGCATTGGAACACTCCTCATACATCCCCTATCCCCTTTTCCAGAAGCAGCACATCATGGAGCTGTATGTCACAGCCATCCTACCTGTGTGTGGGCTTTTCTTCTCCACAACACCCCAAGGGAATAGATGAGGGCACTGGCTCATTTGCAGCAACTTCTCATGAACAGCAAGGAACAGCCACGTGGAGTGGCACAGAGTGATAGAACTGGTGTGAACCCTCTCCTGCTTGCTCTCTGTCAAGAAAAGAAAATGAAGACACCCAGCAAACATGTACCCAGGATTCTCTAGATGAAAAGAACTCAAAATAAGTGGCAGTGCCTCGGATGTGCTGTGTATAAGCACAAGGACAGTTACTTCAGCATGGATGGCACAGAGCAACTCAAAGAACAATAATACATTGCAGTTTGCAGTCAGTAATAGCTCTCCATAGCTGAAATCCTCATTTGCAATGAGAGCCTTCTCTAAGGTTTTAATGAGAGAGTAGCTCTCAACCGTGGCCAGCCCTGCTTGTTTCAAGGGGTGCTGCCTTGTGTACCATAAATGATACTTTAGATAGAATTTTAAGTCTTTTCCCTTTTTTAGTGCTTATCAAAGGACTAAAAGATAACCATGAACATCTGCAGTGGCATTTGATTAGCAAGGGAGAAGACAAAAGATTTATAAATCAAGGAGAGAAACTCTTTAAAGACAGGATAGGACTGTAAAGAAAAAAACGTGCATGAGGAGAAATGTCAATACTTAACATTTCATTGGAGGAGCTGTGGCTTGAAAAGTTTGGAGAGTGTTTCTAATATTTCAAAAACAGCTGCTACAAATTTGTCTAATAGTATTAAAAAATACATTTGAAGAAGGGATTTTTACGTAAAGACACTTACCATGAACTAAACAACCTATTTCAGTCATACCTCATGTTAAACTGTCTAACACCAAAAGCTATAATTTCCATTTCTCTCTTTTCCCCCCTCAACTGTTCTGTTTCCACGATGGCATACACATAATTTTTGTGTCCCCAGACTCACACAGAACCTGCAAGGAGGAGCTATAGAGAGGCTTTTTCAAACATTAGATCAAGTCACTTATCCTATGTAATGTTGGTTGTTTTTTTTTTTTTTGATACATGCAAATTTATCCTTATATTTATTCTTTTGTTAATAGTCACATTACAATTAGTAAATAATGGCATTTTCAGTTGCATATATCCATTTTCCAGCATTCTGTGGCTGGTTGTATGATTCTTAATTTCTCTCTCTGATAAAGCATTTTTATTATTTAGCACATAAAAAGAAAATTTTATGTTTCCATTTCAAAATTACAATCTGCCTAAAGAGGACCTAACACTGGTAGTTTTAGAGTTGAAGAAAAAAATAGAGATGTGCTTAAGTCCTGTCACTTTTCTATTGGCATCCAGAAAAATCATTTATTCCTCATAGCACACTACTGCAGTTTCTTAAAGTCAGAAACTTGACTATCTCATAAGATGCTTAAATTTTTATTCATGGGAGACCCAAGTGGACATACTTACTGACAATTCTACACTCGTAGTTAGGAGTCACCCCTATGTACTTTAAGACACTCCTGTTGACTTTCGGTGTGAATAGCAGGACCTAAATCTATCAGCTTCCAAAATCCTCAAGGGCTGTCATCTTCCTGCTGTGTGGTTCATTTCCTGTAGCTGTTCCTTTTTCAACATCAGCTTAATAAATCTTTATCCAGGACAGGCAAAAAACAGAAAAATATAATTTAAGGAACAATCGCTGCCTTGACCAGCAAAGAAGAGGGAGCAATAGATCTTAATGACCCTTTTCTGTGTCTGATTCCGAATGTTGTGAAGTTATAATGTAAACATTGAACTGTCTTGAATTGCATGAAGTCAAGATAATTCAAGGACAAAAACTTTGTTGTAGCCAATATAGATATTTGAAATTTTCTCAGCAGTTCTTTAAAAATCTCATTACATGTTGAATGGGTTATTATATTTTTTGTGGTACTCTTACAGTTCCTGAATTTCTTCATTGTTTCTTTATGTGTGTTCTGAATACAGAGATGGGATCTCCTGTGGATAAACTACAGAATCTTACAGAATAGAAGATATCAAGAAACAATTATTTAGTTAGTTGATTTACTAAAAAAAATCATTCCTGCCTGAACTATTTAAATCTTAATTTCACTCCAAGCATGGAACAGTACACAAAGGGCTTCAGTGAGTTCTGTAGCACTACAGGAACATTGTCACTGCTTTCAATTCAAATCCAGTTTTAATACTAGACATTTTAGTTCATTGAAAATGACAAGTAAACTAGAACATATAGCATGTGAAGTCTTTTTGTTTTTATTTATTTTTTTCCTCTCACTCCTTTTTATAGCTAGAACTATGGCACTAAGAAGCAAAGTATCAAAGCTTCACTTTGAAATAAATTTCTGGACTTTGTATCATGTAGCTAGACCAAAAAATAATAAAAAAATAAATCTACAAAACAAAAAACCCACCACCACACAAAACAAACAAACAAACAAAACCCATCAACAACTGGGAAGTAACTGAAAGCATAGTTTTGTCCTGCATTCTGTAAGCAACAGGATTGCTTTACTTGCTAAAAACTTGTTATTACTGGTGTATTCAAGGAAGGATTCGGTACGTTTCCTTTGGCCATATTGCTAAAAGAACGACCACCATTCAATTGAGAAAAATTATTTGGGAGCCCAGTGGAAGAGAACAGGGAACCTTTTGCCCTGCAGAAGACTGGCTTCTGCATATAAGTTTAAGCTAAGCTCTTAATAGGGACAGAATATTCTGTAGCTATCATTGCAAATTCTGTGACATAATTAACACAAATGTTTCGCAAAGATAATGGCCAGTCCTGCTTATCAGCCATAGTAATTAAAAAACTCTGGTGAAATAATATCAAGATAAATTTCAATGCTTTGTATGATGGAGCTCCTCACAGAAAACTCAATATTAAAACTTCAGCTTCAACTTGTTAGTTATTTTTGAAAGGTAATGACGTGATAAATTTAAATAATCTGGCTAGTACATATTTCTATGCTGCATTAATTATACATTTGAAACCATGGAAGACACCCACAAGGAGAGCAAATACAGAAAATATCTTCAGCTGCAGCCAGATTAAAACAGTATCCATCATATCAACAGAATTTTCATTTGATATAACTATTCTGTGTTTGTACACATTCATTTATTGTCATGCTGCCTTGCTTCTCCTTCCCTAGAGAGGTCCTTGGATCCAGCTGACAGTTTTGCAGGACTTACCAATTCTGCAGAATACTAATGATATCTACATTTTTTTCCTCCTAGAATCTTAATTAGGAAAGTATGAAGTTCTACAGTCTCAAGTCATGAAGTCTAAAGTCACTGACGAGCCAACATGGAGTTTGATACCTTCCCATGGGCTGTTACTTACCCTTTTTAACATGCAAAATGGTTTTATCATTCTGCTTGAGATTTAATGCGAAAACCTGCGGTAACCCAATTTGTGCAAAGGTCTCCCTGATCAGACAGGAATATTTTTGCTCATAACACAGGACTAGTTTGATGCACAGGCTTCCTTGCCTAAGAAACTCCTGTTGCTAGAAAGCCTGGAAGCTTTAATTTTGCTTGGCTGGTTCACAAGCAGAACTGTGTCAGGGAACAGAAAGAGGCATTAAGATACACAGGAAGGGGTGAAGAAAATATAATCTCAGTACCAGCAAGAACAAACTGTTGATATGGTTGATCTTAAATCTTCCTCCTAGGTGGGAGGCTATAGCAGAAAACAGATGACATTTTCACCTTGGAAAACGCTAGTGAACTGGAAAAGATATTTGAAAAAGTTAGGAGAAAATAATGCAGATTGTACTTTGCTGGTATGGAAATATGTAAGAACAACACTTAAGTTAATGTGTCTCTCTAATGCAGTAGGTTTTTTTTTTTCTTTTTTTCTTTTTTTCTTTTTTTTCCCCTCTCAATTACAGTATGTTATCTAACCAGAGGCATCACAAAGAGAGAAAGGATATTTTAAAAGAAAACTTATATTTTGCCAGGAACCATCTATAAGGCAGACTATTGCCCAAATTCCATGTGTCAGTCAATGTGCACATGTAGCTTGCCACCCTGATTTTGGCTAGGATAGAGCTTTACTGTTTCGTGGAGGGCATTATGAGGGTTGAGCATTATGCGTATCTGTACCTCAGAATAATCTGTACCCGGGTACATGGGCCAATCATCAGCAATATGTAGAAGAGAGAGTGAAGTCCGTGTCTAGCAAAGTTAAAGCCCACTGATTTCCCAGGTTGTGCCTGACTCTTTTTCAAGTGAAAATTCCATTATGGACTGATAATTATCAAGAGTATTCCAGGAAAAAAAAATAAATCATCAGGGTTTAGAAGACAACTCTTATTAGTAATTTATAATGATTAAAAATAGCTGAGAAGTTTCTGACCAGCCCTAGTTATAGTGATAATTTGCAAACACAAGAATTATCCTCTAGGAAACAGAAGATGTGAAGAAAACTCTGCATATGCTGGTAGTGGATCACAGGCTTTTTTTTTTTTTGATTCATATGGACCCAAAATAGACCTTCTGGATCATGAAATCCGGTTCCCAGGCACACATATGAAAGCATTGACAACCTAATGAGGTTCAGCTGGTAGCTCTGAAGCCCATTCACAATAGTGAACAGAAGGCTCTGTGTTCTTCCATCAAACCTTTCACAGGAAAATGGGCAAGAACTCAGAATTCAGATAGAGAAAGAAATCTCACTTTGATACTGAGTAGCAGCTATAGCTCTGCTCTTAAATGAATCCTATTTACTTGGCTGCATTTTCTCGTGGTACAGATGGGCCTACAGTACATTATAAAATAAATACATTCTTGACTTTCTACCATCATTTAGCTCTTGTAATTCTCATTACTGCATGAAGTATACCTTTGCAAAATCTATTTGATGTAATGCACTGCGTCTGGCTGGGATGCTGTTAATTTCCCACAGTTCACCATACCCAACCTTCTTGCATTCCTTCTTCTGACTCCCCATCTCTAACACAAAATCTCACTGCAATTCTTCCCTAAGATAAATTAGTACTGTACATTCATAGAATCCCAATCTGCAATTGAAGAAACTGCTGATTTAGTGTGCTTTATTTATTTTTTTTTAATTTTTGTTTTTCATTTCAAACCAGCCTTGCACTCATTATGTAGTTACCCAGGGGTGTATTTTACCTGCTGCATTCTTCCTACTTGCCCAGCATTAGAAGACTAATCACATTAGATAAAATGCATGCACTTTCTACTTCATCATTATTCTGCTAGCAGATAACAATGAACAGTAGCTGAGAGATCCTCAAAGGCTTCCATTAAGTGCTCATCAAATGCTGGCCTCATTTTTCACATAGAATAGTGTATTTGTGATAAATAAGAAATGGAAGTAACACAAATTGAATATGGATAAGCTGGAAACATTCTATGATGCGATCAAAACCACCTGTATTTAAAAGA